ACTGTGGGCGAGGGTTCTAACCACGATAACCCAAGTTCCCTGTTTGAAAAATGGGAAAGATTATTGCTCCTTCTTTCAATATTTTCAATAATTACCACTAGGTGATTCTCCTACCATTACCACTACCCCTGCCACTACGAGGTACTATCACTTTCCATGGTAAATGCTATTCATGGGCTTATCCAACAAGCACTTGACACCCCCATCTCCCCCTCAGTTTACATTATAGAAGATGTGAAAGGTAAATGCACGCTTTTTTCCTACTCTCTTGCACCTAGGAGACAGCAGGAGACCATTTTGGTCAATGAGACAGAAAGGGGTCCTGAGAAACCATTGTTTTCCCTAGTGAAAGGATGTAACACATAGAGCCATTGTGCAACCATAAGTAAAAAGGCCTGGAGAGGATGCCTGGGTGGCTCAGTCAGTTAAGTGTCTGCCTTCCGCTCAGGTCATGATTCCAGGGTCCTGGGATTGAGCCCCACATCAGACTCCCTGCTCAGCTTCTCTCTCTCCCTCTGCCTTTCCCCCTGGCTTGTACACTCTCACTCTTTTCCTCATTCTCTCTCTCTCTGAAATAAATAAATAAAATCTTAAAAAAACAAAAGGTGCAGAGAAGAGCGGAGATGTTGACTCTGGCACCACTGAGAAGAGGAAGACCATGTCTGTCCACATGTTTCTTGTAACACGAGGGAAGTGAAACCCGTAAAAATCATATAAGTCTCTGAAAATCAGGCTTTCTCTTACTTGCAGCTGAACACATTTCTAAACATTTATCTACCATTGATTGAGTGCTATCTATACACTAATACTAAGCATTTGACACACATCACTTCATCTACTCTCACAATAGGGATCATTGTCTACCATTTTACAGTTGAGGAAGCAGACTGGTGTACCTTATTCAAATTCACACAACTAGGTTTGAATCCAGGTGTGGCTCCAAAGCCAGAACTATACACTAGTTTGCTATATTTCCATCTACTCTCTCCACATCCGCTGCTCCAAGAATGTGTCCTAACTTTTGGAAACATAGTCACTATAACCTTGGGAGGTATTACTTTCATTCTAATGTGTGCAATTAGTGTCATCTTTAAAATGGAGCCCTAGCTGTCTGCCACGAGATGTATAGGACTTTTCAAAAATAGCCCAGACCCAGTCTGGGTTTATAGGAAAATAAACAGATGGAAAAAAACAGAACCAGGCTGGGAATAGCATAGTAGCTGCCTCTCTCCAAAGACCCAGAGTCATATATTTAAGCTAACTATTTAAGGCCCCTGTAGATCCCAGTAAATGGGCTCATTGGCATATTACAGAATTCAAGCCCGAGAAACCCAACTAATGAAGGTAATTCAGAATAAAACATGAAAATATTAGAAGCATCCAAGTTTACTTCTTGCCCACTAGTCCCATTAAGTCCTGGAGATAGATAATGTGATACACACTGGCCTTTATAAAGTAAAAAGATAAATCCATATGTAACCAGTTATATCTTACAATGTGATAAATACCACAGTAACATTCTGAATGTCTTGATGTTGGATCACAGAGAAGAAATACTCAGTGTGAGAGCTCATGGGAAACCTAGAGGAAAATAATTTTAGTTTGGATATAAATTATTTCGTAGAGTTATAGCTAGAAGAGGATGCTGGTAGGGGATGTGTGTGATGCAAGGGTATTAGAGCTTTTTCTGGGCTTTCTCCTCCACATCAAAAGCAGGGTCCAGCCTGAATATGCCAGTTAATGACAAAAAATAAGTCACTGTCTCAGCCATAATCACTAGACCAGCATTTGCCACAACTACATGTAGGAAACTTAACAAATGCCAAAGGTCCCTCCTCACCATCTTCAATATTCTAATACCCAAACTGCAAAATCAAGGACTACATGGCCCTGTAGTGAAAAAGGTTAAAATATTGCCAAAAATCTCAAGAATTTCTATTTTCTATCGGCCCTATTAGTAAATTTTGTTATTTATGTTGCCCCTTATTTATTGAAGTACAGATGAAATAGTTGAAAAGAGTAACCAAATGTTACTAGAGGTAGGTTAGAATTATAGCAAAACATGAGGTCAATGGATGGGAATGATGACTTGATTCTTGAGCAGAAACTGAGGGCCATGGGAGTGCAGGGGATATTTGTAATAGAGATCACAGTAGGCTTCATGTTATGAAAGGCAATAAAACCACTAGGGGATAGTAGTATGCATACCTAAACACAAGCAAGAAATACCCACCACATTCCTACCTTCCCAAATTTATTTGCTCAGTAAATATACCAAAGATTATTAAGTGTCTTCTATGCATCAAGAGCCCTTGTTGACCCTTGCAGGCACTGGAGGCACAGTGACGACAAGGGAGACAAGGCTCCCACTCTGAAGGAGCTCACCTTGCTTAAATTAGGCCAAAGGGTGTGCTGTACAATCTGACAAGGAACCAGACCATGTCGAAATGGAGATGATTTGGAAAGCTCAGTCTGTGTAATCAATGTGTCTATAGACCTCTCCTGCCTTTTACGGTGCTCTCTCTGTTATTAGGGTCATCCTGGTTGCATTCCTGATACAGAGACTTTCAGGGGTGGAAGAAGATTGACAATTGTTAACACTGTTAGAAATAGCAAATATAGATTTAAAGTGCTTACTACATGGCATATACTTTACATGTATTTACTCATGTAGTCTCACAACCCTATCTGAAGGCTGTGGTTCATTATCTCCTCCATTCATCGGAGGAGGAAACCAAGGCATAGGGAGGTTAAGTGATTTGCCTACAGTTCCACAGCTGGTAAGTGATGCTGCCAGTATTCAATCCCAGAGCCGCCTGGTGCTGTACTCTGACACCTTCTTCAGTAAAGCCGCTACTGTGTACCTGGCCTTTACACATAATTATTTCTTTCACTCTTTACAATCTTCTGAGGTAGGTGATATGATCTAAATTTGGCAGATAAAGAAACTCAGGCTCAGAGAGAAGGAATGGCAGTGCCAGGGTTCAGACTCAGGAGAAGCTGGCCTCAAAGCCAGTGTTCCTCCCCATTGCTTCACACTGTCTAAGGAACCTGCCCAAAGCAAGTTTTCGGGGTGCTTAAGCTAGGCTCGCAAGTCCGTCTTTCTAGGAGCCTGTTTTACCTTTCAGGAAAGGTTTTATTGGGAGAGAGTTGGGTAAAAGAAAAGTCTGAAAAATAGATCTGCTTAGACAAAATAAAAGGCTGATCTTACAAAAGTTTTGGAAAAAGAATATTCTAGAGAGGAGTCAGGAAAGCAGATGGAAAATATTCTGGCAGTTTAGAGAGATGAAAGGCCTTCTGTGGCCAGACCATGACATTGCCACGATTTACTGAAGAAACTGAAGACATAGTTGTTTGCCCCAAGATTTACAATTTAGTTAAATACCTTGCTTGGTGTACATGGAAAGAGATGAGAGGCATACAGGGATTAGAAAAAAATTAAAAGAGGCAAGGATACAAGTTACTAATGCAAATGAATTAAGCTATGTGATTAATTAAGTATCTTGTGAGTGTTTCTCAATCCTTAGAAGCACAGTACCTTTACCATCACCGTTACTCAGGCTTTGAAGAATAAGGGCTGATAGAAATCTGGGACTTTCCATGCAGGCTAAATTATGGTATAAGAGAATTGTTCAAGCAATAATATTTAGCTATTTATCTTCAATTCAAAAGATGTTTATCTTCCATTTATGTATCTAGACTTCAGGAAAATTGTAAAATCTCTGTAGAGTAAGCAGATGATATCTTCACTAGCTCTTTCGGTATGTACTTCTTAAAAGGAAGGAGTCCTTATTCCCAGTAATAATCCATGTAGCCTTTTTAGTACCTCTAAATTTGTTCCCAAGCCACTGATAAGATGATCTCATTTCCCCCATGTTGGGAAGTTATTAGTTGCACTAATTTCACATTGGCCCCTCACAGAGGCCACAGTCTTCTCTTCCCCAGAGAAGCAGGGAAGGAGAAAGTGGTTAATAGCCAGGCTTACCACTGGCATAAGTCTGAGCAGCTCTATGGGGTGATCGGTTACACTTTAAGTTCTTAGAATTTATCATATTCAAACAGATTTTAAGGAACCATAGCTCTCTGAGATAGCATGCAATATAGCAATCTATGCTACCAGTATTCTCTAGATGTTTATTGAAGATACAGCTCTCAATTGGCTAAAAAAAAAAAAGAGAGAGAGAGAGAGAGAGCAGCGCTCCTTGCCTTCCGAAGTGCCTTGGAGGTATTTATCAAAGAAGGAGGTCCCTCATGGTGGGGGAATCACTGGCTGTTGGCTCCAGATTCTTTTCAGATGGAAATTACCCACAAGTACTACCTGGGATACTGAACTTGAAGGGTGGGAAGGGACGCTGGGCAACAGAGAAGATGGGAAACTGGCTGGTTGTTGTGGAAGATTATATGCAAGGTCACTTTTGGAAACTTAGACATTTCCCAAAGAGTTCAAGTTGCCCATTAAGAACTAAAACACAGAGTCTACATTCACATGTCTCTATGGGATGGGCAGTCGAGGGCTCTTCTGGGCTTGGAAAAGTTCAGGCACACAGCGCAGCCAGATATATAAGGCTCGTGGTACTCTGCTCAGCATAATCTTCTGTGTTAACAGTAACCTCTACTCTGTTCTGGTGAATTAGAATTTGGTCCACGATGTATTTCTGTCCCCTCAGGACTTGGCTTAATCACTTGCCTTGCCTTAGCTTAATGACTTAGCTGTGCTCTCCCTGCCCTTTTGGACCTTATCTCCTTTCTGCTGAAACTCTGCTTTTTCTCTCAATCCCAACTTCTCTGTTTCTGGTTTTGGCTTAAGTAACTGGGGCCACACCCAATTAATCCCATAAAAACCATTCAATGAGAATGCCCAAGGCCCCTTTCCCCACCCCCAACCCTCCACCCAGAGTTTGATTCATTCAGATATTTCTCACTTAAAAGACCAGGAAACAAATGCCATTGCTTCAACTATAGAGGCCAGTGCCCCACAACTCCCCATCACCCCATTTTACCTTAGGGTTTCCCCAGAGGAGCCCCTCCTCTTCCACAGGTTGACCAGGCTGCTGGATCTGCTGGCTGCTGAGGATGACTTGCCGTCCCCCACATGCATGCGCACTACGGTAGACGTGGTGAAGGCGCTGCGCACATTCCTCTCTGGTTTGGCCAGGATGATGTACACCTTCGGCACAAACATGCAGCCCAGCGCCACTGTGGCACTGAGACTGACGGAGAAACACATGGTGATGATTTTGTAGTTGCTGCCAAAGTAGATTGGCACAAAGGCCAGCCATATAATGCAGGTGGTGTACATAGTGAAGGCAATATACTTGGCCTCGTTGAAGTTAGCTGGAACGTTTCTCGTCTTGAAAGCATAGAAGGTACAGCTCAAAATCAGCAAGCCGTTATATCCAAGAGGCGTGACAACCCCCAGGTTGGTGGTATTACAGATCAGGTACACTTCTCGAATGCTTGGGTAGTCGTGCATTATATCAGGAGGCTCCATTATAAAGAGGGCAACAATGATGCCCAACTGAATGCATATGAGAATGAAAGCAATCACCAGCTGGGCGCAGGCACTCATGAATCTGGGCTTTTTGGTACAGATCTTCTTCTTGCTGCCGGCCAGGATCCTTGCAATACGATTGGTCTTGGTTACAAGGGCTGAGTAGCTCATGGCTGGGGAAAGACCGATACCAATTCTCTGAAGGTAGCAATAAATCTGTTTGGGCTTTGCAATGAGGCAGAAGGTACATAAGTAACCCAGGCAGATGCCGGCAAGGATGATATAGCAGAGTTCCCTGCTGGAGGACTTGACTACTGGCGTATCACGGTAAATGATGAAGACTGCAGTGACAAATAGGGTGGCCAGTAGGCCAAGGCAGGCAAACACCACAGCTGCAATGGGCTCAGGATCACCCCAGCGGAGATACTGTACTGGGATCAAGTCACAGCCTGCAGAGACACAGACACATTGGAAAAAAAAAAAAAAAAAAGGAAACATTTACTGGGGTCACCTAAGTGAACTGCCTAAGTTACAGCAGCTGCTGATGACCCTTTTCAGGACCCTTTGACTCCAATTTACCTTTCCAATCTCAATATCCCATGTTACTCAGTTCTTCATATATTCATTCATAAAATATGTATCTTTATAGTATCACACATCCTGTGAGAGGAGCTGTTCTAGGTTCTGAAAACAAAATGGTGAAGAACATGCGCCCTGCTCTCCTAAGAAATAATTGGGGAGGGAGTGCTTCTAAATAATTACTTACAACTGTGATAAGGGCCATTAAGAAGGACAGCATGGTTCCTAATGCAGTCTGTGGGAGCAATCAAAGCCTCCTTCAACAGGATTGAGCAAATGGAAGTGTTGGTTCGATGACTGGGCATTCAGTAGGTACAGCATATGGGGATTAATTGTAAGGAAAGCTAGGGGGCACTGGAGGCATGAAAGGAGGCCACCATACAGGTGCAGTGAGTGGCCTAGATAAGGCTGGGAGGTAGGAAGGAAGGGCTCTTGCAAAGCAGAGAGGCCTAGACCAATAGGAAATCATTGGAGGGATCTATATATACAGGAAAGGAAGGACATGGTCACACCAGTGTTAAACATTCCTTTGGATGCGGTGTTGATCTAGGATGAGATAAAAGTGTGGAAAGATTTGAAAATTATTTGAAGCAATAGAGAGAGTTTAAATGGATATGGGCTCCTTGAGAGTTCAAGACATCAAGGATGACCAACAGTGGATCCATCTATGCTGTCCTTGAATCCACTGTATAGAAAGGTTAGGATTTTCAGAGAACCACATGGTTCCATTGTTATAAAAGAGAAGATTCTTAATTAAAAAGTGGGGGGGCAGCAGAGGCAAAATGACCCCAAAGGCAAACAACTGGTCTGTGTGGGAAGTACCCACACTCCACACTCCAAAAACTATTCTTAACTCATGGCTTGCATGTTTTTATATCACTTCATTACACATCAGGGAAAAAAAAATGACAGAACTTGGCATCATTTGGGGTATGCACCTTGTTTTCACATTTCTTTATGATCGTGATTCTCAAACTTGGCTGCACACTGGAATCACCCAGAGGCATTTTTAAAAAATACTGTGGCCCTGTCTCGCTCTCGGAGTTTCTGATTTAACTGGTTTGGACATCAGGATTTTTAACAGACACTCCAAGTGATTCTAAAGGTACAGCTAAAGTTAAGAACCACTGCTCTTAGAAGGGTCATTTCTCTCTCTCTCTCTCTTTCTCTCTCTCTGTGTGTATAAAGTAACATTTTTTACATTTAACAGTAACATAGAAATAAAGAAACCGTATTGAGTGAGCAGGAAAGGAGTTAAACAATCTGGAGCACTGGACATTTGAGGAACATGGCAGAGATAACTAATTGCCTGCAAATAATCCATTCTCCCTTTTATTCTCAGCAGCAGATCGCTAATTTCATTTGGGGCTGGTAAAGAGTGCAGCCACACTACATTTTCCAGCAACTTTTCAGTCAGATTGCTATGTGACTAGGTTTTAGCCAGAAAGATATAAACAGGAAACTCCTTATAGAAAAATGACTAATCTTGGAGAATACCCTTTTTGTCCTTCTCGGCTTTCTCCTTCCCCTTCCTGGAATATAAAGATGGTGGTTAGAGCTCCATCAGTTATCTCGGAATATAAAGTAACTTTAAGAACAGAAAACGTGTCCTAAGTTTTGGAAGAGAATCCCCATTAACCATGGAATCACTCACTAGCTCTAGACTACAGACATCACATTTGTCTTGTTTAAGCTACTTCTCCCCCCAACCCGCCCCCGCCATATATGCTTCCAACCCTAATCCTAATTGTTACAGGTGTAAGATTTTCCTATTAAATTCCCATATCTCACAGTCAAGGGTGTTGCAGTAAGAGGCTTTGAGTATCAAAGGTTACTTGGAGGTAAGGGAGACAACAATAAGTAATAATAGCAAAGAAACATGTGGTTCTTTCAAAATATGTCTAAGGGCAGCTCTTGTAAAAAGGCAAAGAAATATTTTTATTTCTGCCTTGTCAGTCTCTTTCTTCAAGATCTCAGGCTTGAAATAGCACCATTAGTATTACTGTTAAATTCATTATGGGTTTAATGGGACTTGCGAGTTAGCCTTGGATCTTTGGTACATTTTACAGAATTGTTTCTATGGGAAAAGCAGTCTTATTTTAAAAACCTGTGTATTTAGAGACACCTGGGTGGCCCAGTCAGTTACGAGTCTGATTCTTGATTTTGGGTCAGGTCATGACCTCAGTGTCATGAGAACAAACCCAGCTTAGGGCTCCAAGCTAGGCATGGAGACTGCTTAAGATTTTCTCTCTTCCTCTCTCTCTGTCTCTTTCCCCTGCTTGCTCTCTCTCTCTAAAACAAAACAAAGCAAAACAAATAAGAAACTCCCGTGTATTTAATATTGAAACAAGGTGTTTTTAATTTAAAAAATGTGGATGGCCCAGACTAAATATGAGACTGTTATTTTACATAATGTTATTAATTATAAATAAACACATATCTCATTGCTAATGAAGATATTGTATCCTTATTTTTAGGCATCTGTGTTCACATATGCGGCTTATATGTAGGAATTCAATCTCTGAAATTTTAGTATACCACGGGGTTTTGCTTCATATTTATAGATTTGTTCCTGGTAGAGACTATTTTATAATAGGAAAATAGGGATTAGTCAATTATTCCTATCTTTATTCTTCCATAACTGTTTATTTAGAACAGTGATGTGACAATGAAATCTATTATCTACTGTAGTTAATTCTAACGGGGCCTGTTTCCCCTCATAGGTCATGAGTTGTGAATACCCACAGTAACTTACTGGCATAGGAAACAGCTTATGTGGTGCATGAAGTGGGAATTCTTTCATTAGCTAAAAAGAATCAACTGAAAAAAAATGTATAAATGTTTACTTTAAAGGCTCTCATTTTACTCCTTTTTCTCTGCTGTTCTGCTAAATCTTAATTGTTTCTATTTAGATGTTATTAGCACCCTAATCCTAAATGTTTTGCATATGACAGCACTTACCACTATTTTTCAAATTCTTGAACTCTTCCCATGTAACCCATTAACATCATGTGTGAAACTAAAGAAAATGCCATTAGATATATTTGTTGGAAGAAATGTGCATGAGGCATGCCTCTAATGTCATGTGATTATTGTCACAAATTTGCCAGATTTTATACATTCAAATGTGTGTTTTTTCTTTAATGTGAACCACTCAGAAGGCTTTATGTTTAGTTTAATGATGCTGCCATTGCACAAAATACTTTTGTAACTATTCTCTTGGAATAGCAAATTGGATTCTGATTAGAGTGTTATAATCACTGAATCTTATAATTGGATAAGTTCTTAGAGTTTCCAAAAACGGATGTGCTTCACAATCACTTGCAGCGTCTACAAAAATTCAATCCAAGGGTCTAACTCAGGAGATTTTGAATCAGTGCATTTTGAATCAGGACAAAGGAATCTTATTTTGAATAAGTAAGCTTAATGACTATACAACTGATCCTTGGTCCTTGGTTGGCAGCCCAACCTTAGAGTATCAGACTGACTTCTTATCCAGTCTGTGAATGCCTTCTTTGATAATTCCAAGGTGTGATCATCCACACTGTACCTAAGACTTTGTTTCAAAGATTTTATTTATTTATTTGGCAGACAGAGATCACAAGTAGGCAGAGAGGAAGGCAGAGAGGGAGAGAGGTGGAAGCAGGCTCCCTGCTGAGCAGAGAGCCCGATGCGGGGCTCCATCCCAGGACCCTGAGATCATGACCTGAGCCGAAGGCGGAAGCTTTAACCCACTGAGCCACCCAGGCACCCCTGTACCTAAGACTTTGAACTATATCTCAAGGCCAAGATTAGTGGTGGGGGAAGATAGATCAGAAAGTCAGGAGGTGAGGATGGCAAGTGGAGACTGGAGGTGAATAAACTGATCAGAAGGCTATCACAAGAGGATGATGGGAAAAAACTAAGTCATTGTACTGAAGAAGACATTGAGCTGGGAAAGACATTTTAGAGCTGGAATTGAAAGAAATTATGAGGTAGACAGAAGTTTCAGGAAAGGGGCTTCTAACCAAGTTGATAGCAATGCTAATAAAATAACTAAGACGAGGGCTGTAGGAAGAAAAGTGTCAGATTTTGTGGTGATGATAACCTAGTTCCAATTTAGACATGTTGTATTTGAAATGTCTATGAGGTACTGAGTAGGTGGAAACAGAGGTTTAGAAGAGATATCAGGGTGAAAATTACAGCTTTGGGAGTCATCTGTTTACAGGTGGAAATAAGAGACATATACATAAATATAATTAATGAGGAATTTCACAGGTAGAGAGCAGAGCTTAGAAGTCTGGCTTAACACCAATATTATGGAATGGCAGAGGAAGAGTATATGTCAGGGAAGATATAAGGTAGACCAGATAGAAGGAAAGAAGAGTATCAGAAGCCAAAGGGAAGTGGTCAGCTGGATGGCCCTCCAACAATATCACTGGAGATTTTCTTTTAAAAAAAAAATCCTTACCCAGAGGGCTGGCACAAAGTTGTGAGCTTCAGGTTTGCAGATATCTCTTCTGGTGGTTTATCTTTTTCTTATTTCTTCCCCTGCTTAGTACTATTAGATCTATTTCTTTTGAACAAGATGGTTTCCTTCTATTGTTATATTCCTATCATGGAACATATTCTTCCAAATCTCAGAATAATGCTAATCTTATTATGATATAAATTTAAATTCCCATTAACTACCACCTCTGCTGTGTGCCTTGGTTTACAAACATCTGAATGCCCTGTTACTCTTCCTAAAGCCTTCTTTATTTCCTTCTGTGAATTACTGTGCATTTTTTCCCTTACTATTTGTTTGTTTTTTAATCCCTGTTTCCTTCTTAGTGTAATGGTAAGTTATTGGAAGTACTCTTAGTGTACTGGTCAATTACTGCATACTGGA